TTAGGTGGTGGTATCTTCCTCACAGTGTGCAGTGACCACCTCACCATGTGTTGTGACTTGTCTTAGTATTTGTCTCTCTGTGTGTGTGTGTACACAGTACAGTGATTCACCTACAGGTGAGAGCTCGTAAACCAACTTAGCTCCCAAAGTGACTGTTTATTTGATGTGTATCTTCTGTGTCTTGGCAGGGCCTGAGCACCAGGGGCAGAGGACTGACTTTATTTTAGGTGGTGGTATCTTCCTCACAGTGTGCAGTGACCACCTCACCGTGATTTGTGACTTGTCTTAGTATTTGTGTGTGTGTGTGTGTGTGTGTGTGTACACAGTGAAGTGCAGTGATTCACCTACAGGTGGTGTGGTCTGATTATCCGCCTCTATTGGTAAGCTCTGGTCCCTGGCCCTCGACTTGTTTTAAAACTTGGTGGTCCGTTGGGCTGGAAGTGTTTCAGTATTTTAACATTGTTTTTATTCAAGATTTGCCAATAAAGAGTTCATTTTTGTATTGTTACTCATGTTTCTGACTCTAATTGGTGATACGAATCTGTGTATGCCTCTGTAGGAGGTTTATTCTAATTCTTTGGGTGAAATTCCCATAGTGGCGTAGGTGGAGTGAGACTGATATCTTGTCCAATTCCCATTGTACTTAAGACAAAAATTCCTCTTTTGCACTCGTTTCCCATGCCATACTTGGAACACACTTTCAATGATCTTGGGATGTATGCGACGTGTAAGTTATGTCCGTGCGTCTTATGGCGGATATCCAGGCCATCCGTCTCCGCTTGGTTACATCGGACACGACTCCCTTCATTCTGTTTCCAGGCCGGAAAACAATAAAAAGAAAATCCATTGTCTCATTTCTTGCCAAGTCGATCGTGTGAACGGACATTACATCCAACAACACAACAGGTTCTTCCCATGACTACAACTTCCTCGGCGCGTCACAACAAGTGGCCTCACAATATGGTGATTTTTCCCATCAGCCACCACGCCGCTAGAGCCATGACGTCACGCCCCCATCCCCTATATCACACAAAGAGTACCGTTTTTCTGCAGATATCAGCATGATAACTAATTTAATAATCATTTTATACACAGTCAGTAAATTAGCTATAAGTGACTTACATTTTAGACATAATATTGCTTGTTATTGCTCAATTTTGCCAATGAAAATAGTTTCAAACAAAGATCACAGCACTGTTTTGCGTCTCTGAGCAAAGGACGGTGTTTACTTATTGAATGAATCAGTTTTTGAACGAATCGGTTGAATATATGATTCAGTGATTCACTCATTAACACACAGGCTGCGTCCGAAACCGCCTACTTCTCTACTATATAGTAGGGGAAAAGCTGTCAGGTAATACAAGATGGATTCAAATGCGAGGTTAGATGGTAATTTATTAAATGTGAACAAAACAAGCCAAGTCACAGCAAACAGATGGTCGTGGATGCAGTGATGACAGGCCTCCTCGGTAACGCTAGGCTGCAGTGAGCAAGATGCACAAATCCTCAACCAATGAGACAATGTAAGTAATGTAAATACATTTCCATAAAGTAACTAAATATAAGTAATCTATTGTATTTGTCCATTAGTACTGTTGAAAAATTGAGGAACATTTGTGTTGGATAAAAAGCTGCTTAACACTACTTAATACTTTTGAGCACACAAATCTCAGAGGGAGCTTGACTCTTGTCTGGATGTTACAGGAACAGATGAGCACACGTCTGCTTATCTGGCGGAGACGAGAGCGGCTAATGAAGCAATGCTGCCATCAAAGGCTTTGAGTGAGTATACTACAGAAATGAATAAAACATCTGTTTAAATCTTAAGTTGTAGTTTATTTCAATTATTGTAATTTCAAACAGAGTTATCACAGCACTTTTCTGATTCTTGATTCCTGTGCATTTGCTGCAGAGCTTTTGTGGTGGAGCAGGACCTGCAAGGAAAGGTGACGGCGGCATTTGTGGAAAAAAAAGGGAAAACCTGAACAAAAATATAAAGTAAGATCATTCTGTTACTTCTAATACAGAATCAAATGACTCTGTGCTGTTAAAATGACTGCTTTTGTATTGTGTTTGTGCATCTTTGTAGGATCTGAAATGTCTGCAGACTGGTGTGTGCAGTGAGGATGGAGGAGTCCACAGCAGTATCCTGGGAATGGTCCAGTGCCGCGGATGAGACGCTCCATCACTCCTCCTCTTACGGTCTCATCTGGACCAGATGCTGCTGTGGTCTCTTCATCCTCAGTGACCCCAGAGCCAGCGAGAGCATCTAGAGAAAGACCAAAAGACACTGAGGAAGTGAGTTTGGTCAAGTTTGTCCTGCTGGCTTGTTCATACAACATCAGTCAATGAAACCTGAGTTTCAGAAGCTTCAAAAGCATCATCAAATAATGTCATGAAGCTTCTGAAAGTCAGGCTCCATCGACTGATATTGTATGAACAGAAACCAGCAAGACAAACTTAACTAAAATCACCTTTTGTGTTCAGGAAAAAAAATAAATACCCCAAGGATTGAACAGTGTGGAGGCGAGTAAATAATGACTGAATTTATATGTTTGGGTGAACTAACCCTTTAAACCCCCCAAAAGGAAAAATTACCTTGAAGAAATAAACTTTAAGAAATAAGCAGCTTTATTGAGCGTTTGTACCCAAGACACAAAAAAGGATTTACAAAAATCACATTTACATTTATCAGAAACTTTTATCCGAAGTGA